TTTATATTTGCCAAATATATTCTGAGAGGGGGTAAAAATAATCTGCCCTTTTTGTCTTCGATCGGCTGATGCAGTGTCTTTTATTTCTTCAAATAAATTTATACAACGAAAGTAGACAATAATCTGTGCACGATAATAGACATATTATCTCATCTAAAGTCTCATATCCGGCCATCATCATTGGATCTTATTGAGTAGCCGAGGCCGATTGGAAATAGCGGAGTTCAGATCTGTGGGAAATAATGGAAAGCTTTTCAGTATGTGGTTTTTAATATAGAGAGAAATCATGTCCAATCTGTTATTTTTTCTGAGCTCTTGTTCAGATTATGGGCGTATTTCAAGTGATAATAATAATAAGAAGAAGCAGAAGAAGAGGAGGAAGAAGAAGAAGGGATTGATAATATGCAATTAAATAAGGGTCATATGTATGTATTGTCTGATGCAGCCATCCATTTTTTTTGTAAAGGGGCCTTATATATATATATATATATATATATATTGACAAGTTTTTAGTTTAAATTGGTCTTTTAAAAATCTCGCGAAAAGATTCGCTTGTATATGCATATAGGGGCCTATTGCATAATAAGGATTTTGCATCTTCACTTTCCAAAAACCTGCCCCAACTTCTCCCCCGGGCCTTCATCCCATGTACCTTAAAACAATTCCAAGGAAACTAGGAAGGAAAGGGTCTAGTGAGAGAAAAAAGGACCAGAGGCGAAGTGACGTGGTTGTAATGGAGTTTCGACTTGGTGGCTAGACACTCGGTATTGAAGACACCTGCAACGGCAAAGCCACCAGCTCAGACCGATGGCACCAATGAGAGCATTTGTATTTAATTTTCAATAACAAATTTACTCTTGCCGTTTGATTTTACCCCAAATTTACGCAGCCTGTGTGTTAGACGTCTTTAAAGACCTGTGATGCCCACTGAAGTGAATTGAAAATTGTGCAACATTGTTTTGCCATGATGAGACCTCATGCGATAATCTCTGGTCGCAAGACTTTTTTGAGTGTTTTGAACATTATAATGAACTCGAAAAGGTCAACAAAATTGTCGAAAAACCTAGGCGATCGATGAAATTTGACGGAGGTGAAGAGAGACAACTTGTATACTGTAGAGATTATGTAGACATCACCTTACAACCCATTTGCGATTCTCAGAGACAGATAGCAAGAAAATGCCCTCCACCAGGAGTCTCTGTAGTTACATTTAATGGAAAGACCCTCGTATTATGTAATGGTCTGATGCACTAAAATCAGTGAGCCAGGTGCAATATGTTCATGTCATTTCAAGTTTTCGTCGACCAGATCCATGTCAACTACCATTTATTATTCAGAGGTTTGTCACACATCGTCTTCCTTTGAATAAAGGCTTGAGACACAGGACTAGCTAAGCATGGAAACTTTGCTATAAGAACTCAGTCGCCTGTTCCACAGTAGTGTGATAGATCATCTTGCTGTATATTGGTCTGTCTTTTCAACTGGCTGACTCCATTTATCTATCTTGTTCCATGGTCGACTCCCTTAGTGATTACAGCCGCTCTACGAGTAATTGCACAAAATTGACATATGGATTTGTCCATTATGATAAGTGTTGTGGGTTTCCTCGAATGTAATCTGATTTTTTTTCAACGTGGAAACTCCCTCAATTGAAAAAAAAACGGATATCAACAGGAGAGAACAATTAATTGATTCTACATAATTCACACCTTCTTCCCACATATTTAGCAAATAGCATTGAATTGCTTCTCGAGGCTCTAAAATACCCTTTCTCCTTTTTTCGAGAAGGCAAGGGGAAGCTGGATGAACAATCTTTATTTAAAATTTGGAATGCAGACAAACCCCTCAGTCCCGACGGTGCCAAGGAAAAATTAAAAATATACTACAGTGTGAAACATTTTTGAGTTCGTTACAAGAAGCCTGCCTAAGTGATCCTCCAAATAAGTATTTGTGCCCCATTGTCTTGGAAGTTATTGGTTTTAAAAGTGCGTGGAAGGAGGTAAACCCTTTTTGCATTCGCACTTAATTTGTTGCTGCGATCAGTGGATTAAAAAAAATGTACATTGTTAAGCATAATTTGAATTAAATGCCGAATGTCCACCTCGGAAGTGAAATAAGTTTAATTTGGCTAAACGTACAATATGAAAATCGTTGCTTTCCGAAAACTCAATAGAGAATTTATACTTTGGTAATGTCACAAGTATTTCCCTTCTCTACCTTTACATCAGCGAAAGCAACGGTGCCATGGCGCGCCATTCTGCATAATTTACACATGCTGTGATGTTCTTTAAGAGGTTACATTATTTATGTCTGTCTGCTTCAATACAAATGATTGATATAACAATGTTTAAAGATAAATTCTTAACTTGAGGTGAAAACGGTCATCATAGATATGTGTATTGCAAAAACTGCTCTATACGGGCTGCTTGAACAAATTTATTTTGCGTTCCTGTATATGCTAAAAATACTCATGACATGTCTTGGAAATGATCAAGGTGGACTTAAAAGTCGACATGGTATCATCCTGACACGACGACAAGTGTTGGTGCTTGTTTAACACCCAGAATACTTCAGCAGACGGAATAATGCTCACGCTAAATTCACATGTATCTTGATCAACACACTTCTAAATGATTACATTTCAAGGAGGCTCACATGTTTCTTCTCTTGTCCCAGAAACCGGGTATGAGCTAACGGCATCTTGGGTTAGCAGTTATTATCGAAAACAGTCTTTCTAATTTCTGCCTTTAGGATTTAAAAAAGGAAATCGAAATTTGGTGCTTATGTAGGAAGATGCAGATGTAATTGGATTGGTTATCGCGGCTTGTCATTATTGTAGGTGAAAGGAAATACAGCAAACCGTTGCCGTCCTTTCACTGTTTCAAGACCAAGTGCGCCATATGAGTCCAAGATTTGCCAACCATTTTTAAATCGTCATTAATCTTCATTTCCCTGTCAAAAGTTACCCTGGTGGATATTAGTCATTTAAAATTAATTGGTTTAACGAGATCAATTTCCAATTTCAAGTCCTTTTTCCTTGATTTAGATTAAATTTCAAAACCATGGATAAATTTGATAACACAACCGTGTTTTCATTGGCTACATTTGGAGCATTTACACATTATTAAAAAAAACTTTGGTGATTTCAAAACAAAGTTAGCCCAAATACTTATCACATTAGGTACAGTTTGTGGCAAATTTTGAGACGTATAACTAAAACAGGAACTTCTGGCGATATGGCTCTATATATGTAACATTTTACAAACAGCGGTGTATTTAAGATTGTTTACACTGCGTCATGTGATAGTGTCATTATAGTATTAATAATTAGATTTCAATCATTTCTACTTCTTTTTTTTTTTTTTTCTAATTGTCAAATTCTTCAAGATCGTAATATATTCACTTATGTGAACAGAAATTATTGTCCTTCTTGAAGAATTCTAGGCTTCTGGTTGGTCATTTAAAATGCCGTAGTCTGTACATTATATTGTTTTACTGCCATTCACCATGTCCAGTTAATATTGATTGACCACATGTCAATAGTGATCCGTATATATGTGAATCTTTTTTCATCGGGACAAGTAATAACTGACGCCCGTGTTGACACAAATTGAAATATCCGATAGTTTTCTAGAATTCAAAGAATTCGTCTTGTTTCGATGTAGGAGCATGCGACCATCACTCATGTTTTATATATTTTTTATTTCTCATGCAAAATATACCATATTGTTACCATGGTTTCTGAATCAACATCATGTTTACATATAATAACACCAACACCTAGTATCCAGTCTTAATGAGCCAGCACGCTTAAAATTTCCACCCTGAAAGGTGCAGTACAACTATTTCAATACTGATTTTGGCGCATCTTTTTTCTGATTAATACAAAGAACTTTAAATAGAACGACAAAAACTATTGGCCCACAGGCATCTGTACTGGATTAAATGCCCTTTTTATACCCCCTCCACCACACATTGAAATGACATGTTGATACTTCTGCTACTTCTGATTTTTCGAGGGGTATTTTGTTAATTTATAGAACAACATATCAGACGTATTTATATTTACACCTGTAAAGTCTCATGTCAAGATAGGTACAAATATGTGCTTACACAATTCACGCGAATCATTCGAGAAAGCTCAAAGTCTCGCGGCTTAGCGCAAAATCAATCGAGAACTCGGGATTTTGGAAGAGATTGGGGAGGATATAATGGCCAACTCACCATAGAGTTCTGACAGAATTTATCAACGGATACTCTTTTGGCTGTTTTTTCTCAAGTTCTAGAAAATAACAGCCTATTGCACAACAGTACGAATTTACTAAGTTCTAGGTGTCATTTCTGTTTTGCTTTCCATACAATTTCAGCGCACCGAATTTGACAGTTACCGCTACGAAGTAAACACCACTTCACGCGGATTCTCGCATGTTTTCTAGTCTCGTATAACGTACGTCACGCAGAGCCGAAGGCCGCCATTTTAGGCTATCTCGGATGGTTTTCATTAGTGCAAGCTCACCAAGATAGACTTACCGATTGCATATTTCCTAAATACAAATACACGACAAATTATGCACATATGACCACTGTACACTTTGCCTTTTATGTCGAATGATGTACAACAAAACACGTACTGCATTATTAATAAAACTGCTAGCACTTGATTTATATTTAATGAAAAAATGTACCAGCACTAAAATGTTGCCAGTTAACATTACCTAATATCGCTGTCATTACAAGAAGCTCCGTTATTTAAATGCTTATTTAGAGCATTTTTCTCTGAGACAAAATTAATTTCCACGTTATCAAAGCTAAACTATAATTTCTTTCATTCGTATCTTGAGCACAGCAATGAGATCTATTCTACTGTTATCTATTTACAACGCTTGTACAATGAATCAGTACCAACATCTATATGCGGAGTTGATTATCAGTAACGATACCCCCGCAAAGCATTAAACTATCCGTTACTACAACAATGTGTAACTGTAAATTTTTTTGTCAACGTTGGCCTCAGTTGGTCCGCCGTCCTAGTGCCAGCGCTTTTCGTAACACAGCAAGCGACACCAAACTGCATTTGTCTTTATTCTAAGACACACTTGGCGGGCAAACGCTGCTTCTTAAATCAATCACATCTTGATAACGTTTATACTAAAACGTAGTTAATGCAATTGGACGCGTGTAATCTAAATCATTTCCAGGTTCAATTGAAAACGTTCCCCCTTTTAGCGAAGAAGTCGGTTCAATCTGACAACAGGATCAGTTGTACATGCACCACCGCTTACAATGTACAAGACCAGACAACTTTTGACAATACTCTAAATCATTATTGATTCAGCCTACGCATTTACTCAACGTTTGACATTGTTCTTAATCATACTTGTTTATACCAACAAGTGATATTGTGGCAAAAAGTGCAGTAGCATTTAGTGTATGTTGATAACTTGATTAGCAGTGGGCACAGCAGACTCACCAGAAAGTTTTTAACATCAGCCAATGTGACAGAGCGCAGCTCAGCCAACAGTAAGGCAGTCCAAATTGTTCCCGTGTCTTGGTAGAATGATATTTTCACGATTAAGCTTTCCAAAACCAGCTAGTACATGTAAATCATAGTAAAAAAACCCTTTCCTCAATTGAACGATACTCTCTCTTCATGCTGTAGACTGAGCAAAATTTGGAATCGAGTGGAACGCCACTTGCTTTGTTAAATCGAGTGAATCTATTACGACTCCGACCACTCAATGTTTGCAGAAAAAGGCTGGACAACATTTATGACGACACTGATTTCTCTACTACCATTCCCTTTAAAGTCTTCATGGACTGTCTAGTCGTTGAACGGACGTTAAACTGCACCTACATCATCGTCATTTTTGCGGTATCTTTCATTGCGCCATATTTTACAGATTCCTATGCTATCACATGAGGAAGAACCTGCTTACGGTTTATCATTGCACTCAAGTTCCTCAACCTTATTTATGATGATGATAAGTACACACAAAGCATGGGTATTTTGACATGTTTCTCGCCTCTGAAGGGTTCAATCCTGTCATATGTACATTTCATTTGTCTTCACTAACTTCCGACCATGGTCGCTAATAAGGGTTGACAGGTCGTTATCGACAACATTGAGACTATCTAAAGTGGCACTTATCATTTGCGTAACACTTCTTGGCCGTGTTCGCTCTTAAATATAAGCTTGGCTTATGTTCTTGAATTTCCAAAGAAACTTTGTCACGTTTGCCACCACCGCCAACATCCCCCTCTTGTCAGTTTTGTCCTAATACATGGTAGAGTGCTCATGGTAATTGTTCGCACCCACCCCGAGGCCTGCTGATTGTCTTTAACATTAGTACGTACAGTCATTGTTGGCAGGATCATTTTTAATTAGGATTTTTTGCACACCTATGCCTGGTACTGGACGACCCGTGGGGTGCCATTTCAGAAGTTCTCGGGTTTAACTCACACTTTGGACTCTTCGTTACATTGCGGCCCCGTATAATCATCGCCGCTAACGCCATTGCCATTTTTGACCACAGTGTTCTCAATGTTCACTGTGGTCGGTAAGGTGGTGTATTTTGTAGAATCCTTCTTCAAGTCAGCAGGACGCCGTAAGACCACCTGCTTGAATGTCTCTCTGAACTGTCTACTCATGGCGCAATATATGAAAAAGTTGAGCGGGTACGATAATAAGATGAAGAAGTTAATTATCATGGAAATACTCTGTTGGGTGTCGTCGGTCAGGATAAGAAGTTCGAAGGTGTTCTGCACGATGTACAGAATGAAGCTAATGGCCATGGGCACTTCAACGACAAGGAATACACCAACGACGGCAATTAACATTAGGGTGGTGCAATTGCTCTCGTGAATCTTCTTCCATTCGCTTTTTCTGTTCTGCTGCAAGAGCCTCTCACGACGACGCCGTGCACGACGAAGGGCGCGCACAAGCAGGGCATTCATGACTACGAGTGTGACGCACGGGATGGCGTGTATGACAACAACACGGTACCAAAAGAAAATGTTATAGTACAGGTTTTGGTTAGCTTCAATTAAGGGGGTCAACTGTTCAAAACAAGTGGTAATGGTTTCATTAGGATTCACCAGTGATGGCACCTCACATGCAGTGATATCGGTATCCAAGCATCGACTTAACTGCGACAAGATGCTCAGAATATAGATGATACACGTGGCTTTGATGACATTTGGTATCGTACACCATTCCCTCGCCCTGGTCGAATGGCAGATATAGACGTACCTCTGGCAAGCAAGGGCAACGGTGAGCCATATAGAGGCCGTGTGGAATATCGTTGGGATAATTTCAAATAGGTATTTATACATCCAGCATGTGTCAAACGGCAGATAATCCACGTAGCGCCCAGCTGTGTAGACGTAGAGCAAAAAAGGTAATGGAAACAGCCCGGTGAACAGGTCAGATAAAGCCATGAATACCAGAAGGACGTTCGTTGGAGTACGCATGTGTCGTCGTAGAAGGATAACGCAAATGAGAACGTTTGTAATAACGGTAAATAAGACCACAATCGGCGATAGGTAACCGTAAATCGGCACTTTGTATTCGGCTTGCTTACCGAGATACAGCAAATCACCGCAAGTCTCGTTCATTGGTTCAACGGTACTGTTGGTTGGCATTCCGCCATCGTCAATGCTATATATCGATGTTGCTGTCCATCTTGGTCCCACGGAATACAATCCATCATCAAAATTCCTTGCCATGTTTATGGATTCAACTTCCATATTTTCAACGGTGGCAAAAATCCAGTTTTTCTCAAAAATGGTGCATGCTACAATTTACGAGCGAAACTGAAGGACGTTCCCAATCTATCGTGCTGCTTCTGAGGGGAAATACCTTCAAAGACTCATGTTCAAAAGAAGCATTGCACATAGAGAATGTGTTGACTATTTGGCTGTTCCTTTAGGTATAAAATTGTACTTATTTCTCCGATGTTATCCTTTCACCATTAAACCAAATTCCTCCTTGTATTGAACCTGTAACGATATTATAAATACATTGATGAGTTTACCATCTTATTTTTTTAATAATTTGACAATATTTCTCACATTTCTAACATTGTTACAATTAATTGTATTATTTAAGGGACCATTCCCAGACCCTATCGTACTAACTGCGGAACGATCAATCTCCGAGGGGATTCTCGCTAAATTGCAATCAACTTAAGCGGTTTAAATGTCTGTCTCGCCTACTTAATCTGGTAGGGGGTAATTAATTATCGTTTAGCAGCATCAGTAGGCGTGCCAGATATCTAAGTCGCTTAAGCTGAAAGCAATTTAGCGAGAAACCCCTCGGAGATGGATCGATCCTGTCAGATTATCTTGGTATGGGAACCCAGTCGAAATGTAAGATGGTAGAAAAAAAACCGTCGAAATAAAGATGACGGGTTTTTCAACCAGGTTTTTATCGGAACTAGTATTTGGATGTCGATTTGTCGCTTAAACACGAATAAATGTGTGCCGTTCTCAGGTTTTACATAGGCTTATCACGTCCTGTTTTGTTTAATACACTACCTTTCTACACATTCTACACGTCATTTTAACTTAACTGACATTTGTCATAGCATGCTTATAGCATACTAATAGCGAAATTGGTTCTCTCTGAATGATGTTTTAATGAACGTGTTAGCGATATATTCACGAAAGTAAGAATTTGTGTGCATTATGGTGGCATATTCGTTAATGACGATGCTGTCACCTGTGGTGTAGGAACGTTTCCATTTTCATAACAATATCTAAGATAAATCAAGCGTATAGTATACTTAATGAAGAAAGAGGTATGAACATTTTGTTTTGAAGAAAATTATATTAATTTATTCGTGCTGACAAAGGAATGTCACATGGGCTTAAAAATAAGAAATAAGGTTTTTATAAGGGAACATAGCGTAGCGTCAACTTTCAAATTATGGTCACGGCGGATACTAGAGCGA